AGTCTGAGTCAAGTTGCCAGTGCAACTTAAGTCCAACTTGACAGCAAGTCTCACAACCGGAATCCCCATCTCTGCAAGTAACTGAACTAATAGCTACTAAGGTTTTTTAATTGTAATTAGTGTTGCAACATTACATCCAAAGGTTACTTCTTCTTTTTTTAACTTTCACCCATACTCTTATTAATGCTTTTCTTATTATATTGTTATCAAAAGCTTTGTTCACTTTCTTTATTCCCATACCATAAGTATGCATGAAGTCCATATTTTAAATCTTTGCTTTCTAGTATTACTATTTTTTCATCCTCCAAGTACATCAATAAATTGTAAACCAACAGTCACAGTAAATAACATATATTTCTAAGTCTCTAAACCTCTTCAGTCTTTGCTAATTCCCCCGCTGCTAGTTCTAATCACTTTTTCACAGCTGGTGTGTATTGGCCAAGGTTAGTTTAAACAGATCTTTACAGTTCTTTTTTTTTAGTCTCTATTGTAATCCACCCAAACTTGTATTCCTACACACACATTTCACCTGCTTTGAAATGATGTGGAGTTGCCTTTTGGTTGTAGGGGTGCTGGTGTATTGGCCAAGGTTAGTTCAAACAGATCTTTGCAGTTCTTTTTTTTTTAAGTCTCTATTGTAATCCACCCAAACTTGTATCCCTACACACACATTTCACCTGCCTTTTGGTTGTAGGGGTAGGAAAGGGATAGCACAAAGACTTAGTAGCCTCCAGCACAGGTTTGGTGTATAACTTGGTTCATTCACAGATAAGGAGCATTTAGTTTATCCATATCATAGGTGGTCCATTGCTTCTATAGGATCTGTTCCAGAGTGTTGATGGACTCATGGAGATTCAGAGGGGTGAGAGAGGGAAGTCTGGAAAGTTCAGTCACATGATGGAAATCCACTCATGCAATCTTAGATTTCACTTTACCATTTTAGGCCCAACCACCCTGCAACCGATTTCATTAGAAATAATTACTGAGTAATATCTTCATGATTTTGCCATCTAGATAATAACACTATATAGTAGTAGATATGATGTGAATTTTTGTTCTTTTTTTTAAAAAAAAAACACTCATTACCACACTTCAGTTTTGCAACTCTTATGATGCAGGTTACAACTGCAGTCTTAAAGTAATTAAAATAATAAATTATTACTACAAACACCAGAGCAATTAAAAAACCATAGCAGCAAATAAGGACACATTTGGTAAATTATCAGGAGCACCAGTCATTAACAAACCAATAAAAAGTCTAGAGAATAAAAAGGTATTTAGCTGCTGCCAACATAATTGAACACTGAGCTTCAAACTAACTTCTCTGAGGAGAATGATTCATCCAGGGTGCCAAAACAGAAAAGTCCCTCTTTACAGTTGATGCAATCCTCATCTCAGGAAGTAACTAGACAAAACAAATGGTTTGGGCATTTTTCACCATTTTGTTTTGTTTTACTGTTGAGTTGTGAATAACGCATTTGTAAGTATTGGACTGGGAGTACTTTGTACTGAAGGTGCAAGAAATAAAATAAACATTGTTTTATGGAATAATGTAGGTTTCTTTTCTAGGCTAATGTGTAATGTTGCAGGAGACCCACAGTTTACACATCACTGAGAGTATGTAACTACAAGGATAAAACATGCCCTTTATTCTTCTTTTTCTTTTTCACGTTGCAAAATTTAATCATCTCACTCATTAGTCAACCAAACCAGAATTCATATAAAAGGAGACATGAAATAGGGAAGACACACATTCTAAACTGCAAATAGTGCAAAGAATGCCAGTTGTCAATAACAGCACAACAATATATCAAATATACATCAAGTGCAAAAACCAATGCTTATGTTTTATTCAAGCAGAAGAGTGTAATGCAAGGGTATCATGACAAAGTATGCAGAGATGAAGCTCTCTACCCAGAAATCTATTTGTGCTTTGCATCAGCACATTTGTCACGGACTCCCCATGAGACTTCAACAAAGACTCAGTTATTATGTACCCTATTTGTTAGGTTGTAAAAAAAAAACTATTTGTGTAAATATAGTTTACCTGTCACAATGCGATCTATCCATGCCTACTCAGAAGTAAATTCCGATTATTTCAATGACATGGAAGAAAAGTCTGAAGAATCAGATCAAAGGTCCATCTAGTCCAGCCTTTCCCAATCTAGTAGTCTCCAGATGTTTGAAACGACAACTCCCACCGGATTGCAATAGCGATTACTGGAGAATTCTGGGAGTTGTAGTCCAAAAAAGTAACCTTTCAAACTCTGCATTATAGTGACCAAATGAATAGGGTTTCTGTGTCTTTAACGGTGAGCAGAGGATTATTGTTGTTGTTGTTGTTGTTTAAAAAAGAATGTTAAAATGTCAGAACTAGTAATGTTGTCCTTCCTTTTTGTTACTGTCTTATAAAAGATATACACATCCATTGGGCTCTGTGCCAATACAGTAGAAGCACCATACCAACGAGGGCTGCTGTCCACTGTGTACATCTGCTGTGAAGAGGATAATACAGGCTGGTCCCACCAAATTCTGGAGATTATGGAACTACCTGTGCAGAACTGGGTAGATTAAATTTATCATCCATGGTGTGGCTCTCCGTGGGTGTATGCAAACAGGCTAGGCCAGGAAAACATTGGCCTACATTTGAGGTGTCTATGGAAATGTGGGTGTAATCCAGAAATACCTTTTATCTGTCAGTACTTGACAAGAGTTTGTGCAAGCTCCCAAATCACTGAGCTCACAGTCAAATATGTTACTTTCTAATGTCTGTTTTCTCTTCAGTCAAAGGCTGACATGGCCTTTCTGCCTGTATTTAATTTATATCCTTCAAGGGCTTCCCCTGCTTTTCATCCTCACAACAATCCTATAAGATAGGTCAGGCTGAGAGATGGTAAGCAGTCCGGGCCGAGTCAGGATTGATCATAGGTATCCCCAGTCTCCGTTCAATACTCTAACGTTACATCCCATGCTCTCTCTTTTTACAGCACATCCCTATTTTTGTTGGGAAGAGGTGGCATAACTCAGTTAACCTGTCCTTATACAGTATTAACTACAAAGCTTCCTAATTTCAGTGTAGAAGCAAGATGGAGGCCATAAAATAAAAACAATCATGTGCTGTCAAGTGAATTTTTACTTAAAATGACCCTTTCCAGTCTGGAGCTCCTTTGAATATCTCTTTCTCGAGGCCAGAAAGAAGAGGGAAACGTTTCATTAATCTGGGTGTCACAGGAAGAGCTTTTCTCACCATTATGTAGGTTAGCTTGCTGTGTTTAAACACTAGTTTCCTTTGAAATCTGGTGTCATAACTAGGGAAAGACTTGCCTCAGTCACCTCTGTACAACATTAATGTATTTTAGGTCTAATTATAGGCTGCCTCTAAAGTCAACTTCTTGTGATTCATTTGGCAAGCTGTGATATCTGAATCATTCTGGCTTCTTAGGGAAGTCAGAAAAAAAATAAAAGTCTGCAGAAACAGATAGAGAGTCAACTTCTTGTGATTCATTTGGCAAGCTGGGATATCTGAATCATTCTGGCTTCTTAGGAAAGCCAGAAAAAAAATAAAAGTCTGCAGAAATAGATAGAGAGAGATACAGAGATACAGAGATACAGAGATACAGAGAGAGAGGGGCAGGCACACACACAATCTAAATGGTTTGAATGCTCCTACTGTTCTACCAAACGAGCACCTGGTAGTCTACAACTCTCTTTTTCCACATTTTTTTTCATCACAACAACCCTGGGAAGTTGACCAGGTTGAGACAGAATGGTTGGCTGAAGGGCATCCAGAGAGTGTCTTGCTCAGTGAAGACATATATCTGACTGTGTCAATCCAACTTTCCTAAGAATAAGACACCTGCTTTCCACATACTGTACTGTATATGCCAATAATTGGCACAGAATTGGAAAAAACAACTTCATTTTTCACAAGACAGCAAAGATTCTGCTTGGACAGGACATCAGAAACATAAATAAAAGAATAATCATTTTAAGATTGTTGTTATGTGCTGTCATGTGGCCTCCAACTTATGGCTCATGAATAAGTAATCTCCAAAATGTCCTATCCTCAACAGTCCGGCTCTTGCAAACTCAGGCCTGTAATTTCCTTTAGGAAGTCAATTCATCTCGTATTTGGACTTCCTCTTTTCCTGCTGCCTTCAACCCTTCCCAGAATTATCGTATTTTCCAGAGAATCCTGCCTTCTCATGATGTGGCTGAACATTTCTCTTTCCAGAGATAGTTCGAGCTTTGATCTAAGACCCATTTGTTCATCTTTTTGGCAGCCTAGGCTACTTACAAAGCTCTCCTCAATTTCACACAAATCCATTTTCTCTCGGTCAGCTTTCTTTAGCTGCCTTCAACCCTTCCCAGAATTATCGTATTTTCCAGAGAATCCTGCCTTCTCATGATGTGGCTGAACATTTCTCTTTCCAGAGATAGTTCGAGCTTTGATCTAAGACCCATTTGTTCATCTTTTTGGCAGCCTAGGCTATCTACAAAGCTCTCCTCAATTTCACACAAATCCGTTTTCCCTCGGTCAGCTTTCTTTACTGTCCAGCCTTCACACTCCTACATGGTGATCAAAAATACAATAGCGTGAATGATCTTGGTCTCCATTGACACCTCCTTTCACTTTACGGATGATCTTGGTCTCCAGTGACACCTCCTGTCACTTTACTATCTTGTCTAGTTCCTTCACTGCTGCCCTTCCAAATCTCAGGCTTTCCTTTAAAGTAGCTGAAATTCAGATAGTGGCTGAAATTCAATTTATTGACTGTCCTTCTGCATTCTCCTGCATAAATAAAGTTACACAGTACTGTACCTCAGTGCAATTGGGGTTACCAAACTCCTGCCCAGATTTTTTTTTTACACTGTAGCAAGCACGTCCTAAAAACATGCAGGGCAAGGTGAGGGCAATCACTACAATGGGAGAAACTGAGCATGCTCGCTGTATGCCAGTTCTTTAGCACTGAGGTTTTGTCATGCGCGATCAACAACACTGCACCGTCCCCCACGCCATAAACACATACGCAAAGCAGCTTGGTTCGTGTGATTTAACAGATTGCACAACCCTAGACCATTCTTCGTCTTCCCTTTTCTTGAGCACGCTTTCCACCCGAGCATGGAGTCCAGTTCAAAGTGAGGGCAAAGGAAAGGGCTCTAGGCTTCGACTTCTCCTACTGAGCATGCTCAGCCGTCTTCGGCCGTAAACCTTCACAAGCAGCTGCTGTTGCCGAGTCGCGGGGAAGAGTAAGGGGAAAAACAAGACCCGTGTCTTTCGCTTCGAAACTGGCCGGCAGCGTTGGCTTCGTTGCACCGCCGGTGAGTGCTGGAAGAGGTCGTGGGGACTGTGTTGGTGGTGACGGGAGGAGGGGGGGGTCTCTGGAAGCAGGCCTTCCCAACCAGATGGGATGGGGGGGGGAGAGACGCAGATTGTGTACGAACGCGCTCACGCAATGCTTGGGGTTTTGTGCAAAGAATTGTGCATCATGGCGAGGAGAAGAAGAAAAAATGAAGCTAACCTTGGAAGGTGGTTTCGGGGAGACCGTATGGATGACTCTCGATTCGTTGAGTAGCCGCGTATAGAGAATTGGGTAGCTTGAACAGCGAGTAGCTTGGAAGATGGGATAAGACGTAAAAACCACACACACAAACACACAGAGAGAGAGAGGGAGGGAAAGGGTTTATTTTTATTTTGCTGCAACTCATTGCACGGTAATGGGAAGGATTCCCTTTGGGCACAGCGGGGCTTACTTGTGAGGAAACGTGTAAAGGGATCGCGATCTTTGCTGGAGAGAGGGAAGTTACAGTACTTATTGCCATTTAGCACCATTTAAAATACCAGGCTGTGGCCTGGCCATGGCTTCCCTTCCTCCCACTCCCCGTTGATTATTACCCTGATCTTTGCTCCGTCTTGTTCTCTTTTCCTGCCTCTTCCTTTCTTAAATCGACGAGTACTTTGGCATCCATTATTTGCTGTGCTAGATTTTGCATGTGCAACAAGGACACTTGGGGCCTTAAAGAGGTATTGCTCAGAGACATGTTTTGTATACAGAGTTTAGGATTACAGACGTGCATGCACTTTGTACGCTCTTGACGTCTCTTCCATGTGCTAAGTTCAAATGTTTTTCTTATTATACCCCTAAGAATTACAGTATTACCTAGCTATTCTGGAGTGCATAGAATTCTAATCCAATTTATATGGCTTTTGCTGTTTAAACTCCTGCTTTAATGCAACATTGTTTTGATATATACAACAAATGAGTTTTTAAAGACAAAAGGAGGCCGGTACCTGCTCTTAATTGATTCAATGTATTTCATCAAAAACTGTGATAATAAGTTGCTGCACAATACTTAAGATCACTTGTGTGGTTAGACTTTTAAAGCATCGTAACAGCCTTTTTTATTGAATGGCAATGTGTGTGGAGGGTAAAACTCCCCCACCCCAGTTGCAGAATAGATGGGTTGAGGGAAGTGGGTGTGTAGGTGTACCTTTTCTGGGGGTGGCCTTGTTTTATCACCCTGCGGATTTGCACAAAATTATCAAATTTGCTATGAGGATTAATAAACAGTAATACAGTACTGTACTGAAGAGGTGTAGCCTAGCCCTATACATACTTCATCAGAGGGAACTGACACTGTGTCCAGTGCACCTGATTCCCAAATATAAGGGTAGCCTGGAAACGGCAAACCTTTTTTCCTCCAGATGTTTTTGGGATTCATTTCTTAAACACATCAGCCAGCATGGCCAGTGTGAAAGGGTTGTGACAGTCCAAAATATCTGGAATATTGAAGATTCCCAATTCCTGATGTTGATCACACCCATTTTTGTTCTGTCAAATCAGACTACCATTGGTGTAGTTTCAACACTTTCAAAGTGACAATAAAGAGATTACCACGACCCAAACCAAACAATATTGAAGATTCCCAATTCCTGATGTTGGAGATTACACCCATTTTTGTTCTGTCAAATCAAATTACCATTGGTATAGTTTTAACACTTGCAAAGTGACAATAAAGAGATTACCACGGCCCAGACCAAACTACAGTAGTCACTTTAGATGCTGGCTTACTCTGTAGTCTATTAATCACCATGATGGCACCAATCCTGTAAACAAAGATGGATAACCTGTCTTTTAGTTTATTCGATTACAACTCCCAGAATCCCTTGCCTTTGGCTATGCTGGGTGGGTTTTATCAGAGTTGGAGTCTGGAAAGCACAAGGTTTCACTGGAATGTTTGTTGTTCAAGTCATAATATCTTATCATAGCTGGCACTGTGCCTAAAATACTCAGTCTGATAGTAGCATGCTGATACCAAGATATCTCAAACCTTGAGCCAAGGAACGTAAGCAGGCCTATTTGGTGAATGTTATATGTTAGTAGAATATTTTGTATTGGGGCTTTCCCTCAGTGAGCAGTCAAGGTGAAGTCAATATGCTAGTAATGAATTAATATATACATGGCACTCCCATAACACATAGGGCTAGGGTGACCTTGCTATCCCACAGACTCTTTGTTTTAAAATATTAGCTTCTCTTCACATTTCACCCAGGCAGTGCTGCTGTATGTTGTGCCTCCTTATTAAATTGTATTCAATTTGGTTCTAATGTTTATAAGATTACTGCCATATACGAAATAGGCAATGTATTACAAACACATTAAAAAGCAAACATGTTAAATGTAAGTCAGGAAAAAAATTATACATCAAAAACGGTCATAGTCAACTTAAATTTAAAATTCTATAATGCCGCTTTCCTGTTTTAGTTTTGACAATTGTGTTAACAAAAAATAAAATGTGTTTTTTTTAAAAAATGCAGATTAGCAGTCTGCTTTTCTCCAGTACAGTGTTTTATGTTTGCTTCATAAAATGTGGCACATGTATTGGTTTGTGGTGTTAAATTAGTATCTCTTCTCAAAATCTTGAGATCTGTTAAAAAGTAAACAAAACCACACACTATCTTTTAACATAGTATATTTGTTAAAAAAACATATTTTAATATCCAATGTATTACAAACACATTAAAAAGCAAAGTCAGCTCCGACTTGACAACATAGTGGCCAGATACTAATCATAATATAAATTAGACAAATTGTATGCCTGGCAAGAAGTTCAAATACATGCATTCATCAAATGTTCTTCTAAAAATTCCTTCCTTCCAACCCCAGCACCTCCCGTTCTATGACCTTGGAAACCTCTTTACAGTGTCTCATGGCATGCATATGTAGAGTTTCCTTTTCCTGCCCATTGATTAGTATCTCTTCTCAAAATCTTGAGATCTGTTAAAAAGTAAACAAAACCACACACTATCTTTTAACATAGTATATTTGTTAAAAAAACATATTTTAATATCAGTACCCAGTGTGGTGTAGTGAGTAGAGTGATGGATTAGGACTCTGGAGACCAGAGTTTGAAACTTTGCTTGGCCATGGCAACTCACAGGGGGACTGGGACTGGTAAAACCACTCCTTAAATATTTCACTTACCGTGAAAGACCTACTTGGCTTGCTAAAAGTCAGTTCCGACTTGACAACATAGAACAACATCTTTTAACAAAGTGGCCAGATATTAATTATATTATAAATTAGACAAATTGTATGCCTGGCAAGAAGTTCAAATACATGCATTCATCAAATGTTCTTCTAAAAATTCCTTCCTTCCAACCCCAGCACCTCCCGTTCTATGACCTTGGAAACCTCTTTACAGTGTCTCATGGCATGCATATGTAGAGTTTCCTTTTCCTGCCCATTGAGGATGTGCCATTCAGATTTTTTGGACTCCAACTCCCAAAATTCCCCAGGAAGAATTCTGTGACTTTGAGACCCCATACACCTACATTTTGCTCACCTGGATCAGGCTGTAACTTGGGCTTACTAATACTGTATACAAAACTGGAAGCTGGCAAGGTGCTTTCTGGGAGTTGTAGTCTCACTGCCCTATAGATGGTGCCTCCCAAAAAAGAAACCACAACATCTAGAAAGCACTGCAGCAACTTCCATTTTTGTATACAGTATTACCAACAGGAATTAGGCCTGAGACAGGCTCTGCTCCAGGGAAGCAAAATATAGGTGTGTGTAGTTGTGGGTCAGTGGGCTAGAACTCCTAGAATTCTGCCTGGAGATTCCTCGGAGAATTCCGGAAGTTAAAGAATCCAAAAAAATTCAAATGGCACGTCCCTACTGCCCATCACCATGGTAAACAGAGAGTACTAGAGTGGTGTGTCTGCCAAGGTATTGGAATAGGTGCTGGAGAAACAAGCTGTGGATTCCCTTAAGCAAGTCATGCTTTCTCAACCTACTCCATAGGTGGGAGGGGATGCATATATGCCATTTTGCGCTCACTGGAAGAAAGATGGGTTATAAATATAACAAATTCATAATAAATGCATCAATAGAGTTCCCCTATTTGACTGAACTTATTAGGGGCTGCAGGGCTTTCTAAGACAGATACTGTTTGCAAGAACACTTAAGCCTTAGTATCTTTTCCTATGTCAATTGACCTCACCACCTCCTCTTCAGCAACAACAAAGTGGGTGTCAATTTACTATTTATTTATATGCTGCTTTTCTCCCCACAGGGGGCCCAAGGTGGCCCAGGAACAATTAAAGCTGTAGTCACCAACAGTTTAAAAATAACAAGAAACTACTAAAAGCAATGAAACTGCAATGTTAAAACCAATGATTAAAAACAATTAAAAAATAAAAAAATACATCCAAACCCCTCCTACGGGCAGGCGTCAGTCACACACACACAAACACACACGCGCAAACTCTTACTGAGGAAAGAGATAGGGATTTCCTCAAGAAGACACTATGTGTGAAGCGAGGAAGCATGAAGCTTGTTGGGAATTGTATTCTATTGCCTTCGGAGTGGAAAGCCGAGCCTCCTCGACTACATATCCCAGGAAATCCACCATTTTGGGAAAAGTGTTTCTCCCTGGTTCGCATCGACTTCCCGAACGCCGTCTCCCGGCTAAACCGCAGCCGCTGCCCCCACCCCCACCCGTTCGCCTTGGTGGGGACCTTCCTCGCTGTTATCATTTCCAAAAGGCTGCAGCAGCCCCCCCTCCCCACCAGCCCTGTTTGTGAGGAAGGGGGCACCTCGGCGGGAGGGCTCCCCGACCTCCTCTCCCACCCGCCAGACACCGAGGCCTCTCTCACTCTCAGCGCAGGCGTCGTGGGCGAATCTGGGAGGGGGGAAGGCCAGTGACGCGCCGCCTCGGGGATTTGGGTCCCGGTCCTGGGGCGAGGCGTTCGTTCTTCTCTTTCCCGAGCCGGGCCTCGGGCGGAGGAGTCTCTGGCTGAGTTCTTCGTGTTTGTTTGCCTGGTCAGGTGAAGCCGCCAGGTGTGGGAGAGGGGAGCCGATGCAGGTGAGGGATGCTGACCTGAGCACAGTGCAAGGCGCTTGGCCTTTGGGGTGGCTCGGTTGCCAGAGGGGGTTCGGGTGGGAGGAAGAAGCCCAGGCGATTATTTTCCATGCCCCCTTTAAAGCAAGCACCTAGGCTCCTCCCCCACCATAATTATAGATTATAAATATTAATATAAACATTTATGGATCTTAAAAAGTGCCCTAGGTGCCACCACCTTTTTTTAATTTACTTTTTATTTCTGTTTTATTTGTACCAGGAGATCCGGAGATGGAGAGGGGATTTAGGAATGGAGCCGTTATTCTTTATTTTATTTATTATTTAAAATATTATTAACCCCACCTTTCTCCCTAAAAAGACCCAACTCTGTGGCTTACAGCATTTTTAAAAAAGATAATATTTAAAAGCTACAAACAGGAACCCCACCTTTCTCCCTAAAAAGACCCAATTCTGTGGCTTACAGCATTATTTAAAAAGATAATATTTAAAAGCTAAAAACAGAAAGTTTACAAATATTAAAAAAGAATGAAAGAAGTATTAAAATATAAAAATGGTAAATGAAATTAATTGCCACTTGGTAGTGACCAGGAGAAGCTTAATTGCCCTGTTGGTTGGATGCTGGGAATGGCCTCCTGTTGATTATGTCTTACTGAAAAGGAAGTAAACAGCAATCTGGTAGTACTGTATCTTAAGGACCATTTGGTGTAAATGTTTGCAGATTGAAGTACTGTACACTTCATCTGAAAATTTATATCAAATAAGAACATACTAGTTTTTGAAGCAATAACAAACTATTTTGTGGTTCTGCGAAAGACTAATAACTCTGGATTTTATTAAAAATAATATACAGACTCTTGTAGCACATAAAAGATTTTAAATTTTACTATGGTTTACATTTTTTGTGGGTGAATGATTCAGAAGGCTCCTGGTTTTGCTGCAGTAGATTGAGAGTGTTTACACCTCTAGGGTTGTTGTTTAAGTCTATCACTTCAGTCATAGCCACTTTTCTTCCTCCTCAAGTTGTTTCTTGAGTTTGATTTAAGAGTTGTTTGATATCTCGTTTATTTTGCACCAATCTGAGCTGGGTTTGTTTTCCCCCACTTCCCTGAGATAGTTTGTATAGTGATGCCTAGAGTCTAAGACATGTTTAAAATCTCAATCAGTGTTTAATATAACAAGACAAATTTTTTTACAACTGATTCTTTTATTGTAATTAATTATCCACCTATTCCCTGTGTGTTATCTTAAAAGTGATCCCCACTTCCAGGACTACATGGGGGAGAAATGTTAGCAATTATAACATTTTGTAACCCCCATTTAAGTTGGGAGGGAGTTTCTCAGTCGGAAATTGTTTTCATAAATAAAAGGAAGGTGACGGGAAGGCAACATGTGTGTATACATGGAATATTCTATCTTTCCTAATACTCAATTGACCTCGCTGTGCGAGGCACCACTGTACTCAATTTTGGAACCTGAGAATAAGAAATGTAATATTAACAGAACTTAACTAATTACTATTGAGATGTCTTGACCCCTATTCTGTACTGGAAAGACAAGGCAGAACTGTCCTAAATAATAATAAATAACTGCCTGATGGTTTGCATTAGTTTTGTAGTGTGCACCAAACTGTTACAGCACTCTTTAAATTATCATGTAGTAGTGGAAACGTGTATTTCAGTCTTACATGTGTTCACTTATAATTTCATAATAATTTCATGTACTAAGGGTGTGCCATTCATTGTTTTGGACTCCAGTTCCCAAAATTTTCCCAACACTTTTCCAGGGAGAATTCTGTGAATTCTTGCCCACAGATGTATATCTACATTGCACTCACCTGGAAAAGGCCTGTCTTCCAGATCTGCTTCCTGTACAGAAATGCACAGTGCCTCCTGGGAGACCAAGGGATTTGTGGGAGCTGTAGTCATTTCTTTTTCGGATGTTTAATAGCAAAACAGCCGAAGGCTCTGTCATCTACAGACAATTTGTACTGTAATCAGGCAAAGGATCTGGAGAGAAGGGTGAAAAGAAAAAGGTCCTAATTATAAGTAATTTGCTGAATTACAGGTCTACAAAAAGAACATAAGATTCAAGAAATTACCGTATGTTGCCTCTCTATATGCAGTCAATCTCACAAGGTGTGATTTACTGTCTCTTGCACTCCAGACATATCATATCAATCAAAATCGATTTATCCAGTACTAAAATGGTAGCTGTGAGCTGGACAGTGTGCAGACAATATCCAAAAAAATCCTCTAGTAAGCACTGCTTGGTTTAGTGTTCTATAGGGTTGGTGTGTATAGAGAAGAGCGCAAAAAATGGTCTGAAGCTCAACATCAGAAAATTAAGATCATGGCCACTGGTCCCATCACCTGGCAAATAAAAGGGGAAGATATGGATGTAGTAGCAGATTTTACTTTCTTGGCCTCCATGATCACTGCAGATGGTGACAGCAGCCACAAAATTAAAAGATGCCTGCTTCTTGGGAGGAAAGCGATGACAAACCTTGACAGCATCTTAAAAAGCAGAGACATCACCTTGCCAACAAAGGTCCGCATAGATAAAGCTATGGTTTTTGCAGTAGCGATATATGGAAGTGAGAGCTGGACCATAAAGAAGGCTGACTGCCAATGAATTGATGTTTTTGAATTGTGGTGCTGGAGGAGACTCTTGAGAGTTCCCTGGACTGCAAGGAGAACAAACCTATCGATTTTGAAGGAAATCAACCCTGAGTACTCACTAGAAGGACAGATCCTGACACTGAGGCTCCAGTATTTTCGCCATCTCATGGGAAGAGAAGACTCCCTAGAAAAGACCCTGATGTTGGGAAAGAGGGCAAGAGGAGAAGGGGACGACAGAGATGGTTGGACAGTGTCATTGAAGCTACCAACATGAATTTGACCAAACTCCGGGAGGCAATGGAAGACAGGAGGGCCTGGCGCGCTCTGGTCCATGGGGTCATAAAGAGTCAGACAGAACTTAATGACTAAACAACAACAAATATATATATAGAATTGTACCCTATAGAGACTAGAGTTGCTCTTTTAGTTTTCCCAAACCAATATCTCTATAACTGGGTTATTTCAGTTTCTTTTGGTCTTTAACTGAAAGATTTGTGGGGAACAAGTGTAGAACTAGTGATGTTCTGAGCTTGTAAGTGGTTTTGTAGCACTGAATATTTGGGATTTTCCACATGATCTCAAGGTAATAAAATCTCTTACTGTGACACTCACAGGAGTGATATAAAGAATTCATTTGTTCTGCACAAAAATTCCGGACACAATTCCCATAGAATGAATCAATGACTGAGGAAAATTTACCTGTTTTAAACATTAGTAAAAGAAGATTAGTAAAATTATCCTAAGTATTTAGGTCCTGCCTATAAGTGTTCAGCAACAGTTTGTTCAGAGTTGTATCTGAATACTTACACTACTGTTAACTGGTTTGCTGCCATAGCAGGTTGTGAAATCATAGCTTTGAAAGCCGTGCAATTTAGGTTACAATATATGATGATTATAGCAGTTTCACTGGCTTTCCAGGCCCAGCATGTTTCAGAGAGTTCACGTTGACTTCTTCGTATACTGTACATTGCACTATCTAAGCTGTGGCTCAGGTATAGATTCTGATTTTCTAGACACTGTGCAGTTTTAGAAATATGCAGCAGAATAATATGCAACAGAATAATAAAGAACTAAAAATATAATAAGACAGTTAATAAATGCAGTAATCAGGTAATAAAACAAGAGTTATAACTATAAGCATTTAATGAGGATGGAAATAACAAAGATTTAGAAGGTCTGGGATTATTTTAGGATCATTTAGGGTCTTAAGTAGAGCTCAAGCAAGAAACCATGCTGAATGCCAATTGTAGCTAAGCTAATGTATTTGCTAAGGGTAGTTTGTGTTCATAGAAACTGTAAATACAGAAAAACAATTTGCTAATAGGATTTTACAAAGATGCATTTACTGATCATCATAATTTTAGAACTGCATAGCTGGAAGGGACCCTGTGGATCACTGAGTCCAGCCCCTGTCAAGGAGCCACAGTGGGGAATCAATGATTTGAATATTTGTTGCATCCTTCATTTGTTGGAACCAACAGTGTAACGGGCAGCCATGACCTCACCTGTCCATCACAGCTGGGCAGTGAATCTTCAGCCAATGGTGTGACGGAGGGTGGAACTGAAGGGGAGGAGCTGGTATAAAAAGGGGGGTGAAGAGTGTGTGAAGGCAGATAAGAGATTGAGTGAGAGAACCAGAGTGAGATCTGGAGAGTTTGTTAGAGGCCTGCATGCCTGAGTGTCAGTGAGGGAAAGTCTATGTTTAATTAAATTGAGAAAGTGATTTACATTGTGATTATCTTCCAGTGATTTTCATATTTTATTTTGTAATCAATAAACCAGTTTTATTTTTGAAAGAAACCCTTGTCCTTTTTATTTAAAGGAAAGGTTGGTGGCAGCAAGAGTGTGTAGTGGCGTGGTGGGCATTCTGAGAGGCCTGGAGTTGGCAGTGACTTTGGAGTGGCCCGCCACGTTACAAACAGTTACACATTTTTTGTTAAGGAAGTATGGCTCAATATATTTGTAGCTGTAATACTTGTAGAATAACCAAGTAGACTTACTGGTATTTTTCCTTTGAGCTATAGTCCTATGTGTGTATATATACAGTGTGTGTAAATATTCAACTGAACATAAATATCTGTTTAGAACTTAAAGGTCTTGATTTAGAGTCTTAGAACTGCAGAGTCTTGATCCTGAAAGTTCTGTTTTTGGAAGAATTATAAAAGCATTCTGTTCATCGTTTAGCAAGCAAAGCCTGCTATGGTAAATGTTTTCATGGTCTAAAGTCTATCTCTTTTCCTGTCAGCAGACATGGGGAAGTCTCTTTCAATGCCTTTACACATGTCTAAAGATGATGGGATTTCCTCATCAGACAGCATGAGGAATGGATTAACTCACTCTGAATGTCATGGCGAAGATGGAAGGAATGGAGATGTGTCACAGTTTCCATATGTTGAATTTACGGGAAGAGACAGCGTCACATGTCCCACCTGCCAAGGCACAGGGCAGATCCCACGTGGTATGTCTAAATGGATTAATATGTAACTTAATTGGTAGCCATGATTTTGAATATGTTATATATTCTTCTTTAAGTTTCCATTAATTATTAAATTTATGTGTATCTCGTATAGAAGTTGTATATTTTAAATATTGTGTATTCTGCATTTTAAAATATTAGTGAAATACATATAGCTTCATTTCCTTGAGTTTGTGTAATACTAATGTGAATATAAATAGATAGCATTGTTTTCCTTGTTACTGACCTAAGAGCCTGTGACCCATTAAACTTGCTGTAAAACTAACTATAAAACAATTAAAAGGTATATTTATCGGTATTACTATGATTAACAAGCATTAAAATGTTATGATAAACCATCATTTCTGTAGCTTCTGTGACATAGCATACGATACTAGATTTACAGTATCACTGAACATGTATAGAAATTGTGAGCTTGATGAGTGGTCTTGAGTCCTTTAATTGGAAGAAAAGCAACATAGAAATGAAAATGGATGGATGATCCTGAAAAAGTTAATTTCTGTTTCTAGGACAGGAAAATCAGCTTGTTGCCCTTATTCCATACAGTGATCAGAGACTGAGACCAAGACGAACGTAAGTTTGTTTGGTGTAAGAATGTGAATGGGTTGTTTTAGTAAACTACAATAAAATTATATTTTTATCTAATCAAATCTAGTATCATAACTGTACATGTGTTGCTCTTATTGGGAAAGGAAAGTACAGTGGTGCCTCACTTAACAATTGCCCCGCGTGACAACGAATCCGCTTTACGACGATGTTTTTGCGATTGCAATTGCGATCGCAAAATTATGGTCTAAATGGGGGAATTTCGCTTAGCAATGATCGGTTCCCTGCTTCGGGAACCGATTTTCGCTTTACGACTATCAAAAACAGCTGATCGTTGTGTTTTCAGAATGGCCACCGGGTGCTTAAAATGGCTCCCGCTGTGCTTAGGAACGGATTCCTCGCTATATAGGCACCGAAAATGGCCGCCTTATGGAGGATCTTCACTGGACGGTGAGTTTTTACCCCATTGGAACGCATTGAATGGTTTTCAGTGCGTTCAATGGGGTTTTTAATTTCGCTTTACCATGTTTTCGCTTAACAGCGATTTTCCTGGAACAGATTATCATTGTTAAGTGAGGCACCACTGTACCATGTTAAAAGTGTCTTCTTTCTTGCTCCTCATCTTGGATATCTAGGTCTCTGAAGGCTTTTTACTGAAATTGGATTTCATATAATTTATTCCTCATGGACCAGGATGGATTACCCTGACTACACTGGAATTCCTGTAGACCCAGATGAAACCAAATTAGAAACAAGCTAAAACTCACTCAAACGACTAAAGTTTTTTTTTCTTTAAATCTAGGTAGATAAAGATTAATCTAATGTAATATGTTTTAAAATTCATCTTCTGTAATGCAGTCTGTGGGGTTGCCCTTGCATCTGGTTTGGAGGCTACAAATGATGTAGAACACCAAGCTGTGTATGAATAATAATGATGATGATATGCCGTCAAGTCAGTTCTGACTTATGGTGACCCTTTTCGGGGTTTCTCAGGTAGAGAATGCACAGAAGTGGTTTACCACTCCCTTTTTTTCGGGGCATCCTAGGTCTGTGCCCAAGGCCACACAGGCTGACTCTACTCAGAGGAGGCACAGTGGGGAATTTAATTCCTAACCTCTGGCTCCACAGTCAGATACTTAAACCACTGAGCTATCTAGTCAGCAATAGTATTATGCCTTTATTTAAAGCACTGCACCAGCATCTTAGAACTACAGAGTTAGAAGGTACCCTATGGCTCATCGACTGCCTATTGACCACTTAATGACATTAAAGGTTCTGCTCCTGACTTGTAAAGAACAGAGTACCTGGATAACAAGTAGATTGCCTTTCCCTTTATTCTGCCAATTAAACCTTGAGATGGTCAGAGGAGGTCTTCCTAGACTTGTGGTCAACAGAATGTTGCCACAGAACATCTTGAGAACAGGTCTTTTTGGAACCCGTCTCCAAATGCAGTGCAAGTGATAAAGAATGATTAGTTTAAGACTCCCTCTGGAAACATATTTATTTGCACAATTGGAATCTGGCATGTAATGGTTTTGATGCTGTTCTGTTTTAAAATGTTGATTTAGATTTTTTTAAAAATTATGTTTGCATTATATTGTACATGTTTTAAAATTATGGTTTTACAGTACATTGGCCAGAATCCAGTGGCATTCCTCTGCTAGATCTCAGTGGTTTTTTTTTTCTAGAATCAGGGAACTCACTCACCTCTACACCCTCCCATGCTACAGCCTGATACACCTGCTGCTGTGGGCTGGCAAACACTCTAAAGCGGGTTTTTAAGTCCCATGGCAGGATATAGTGGAAAGGAAATGGGACAGTCAGACCAGTTTAGCTGGTGGTGGAAGCTGGTGGTGGATATCAATATATATCCTTGGATCTTGGATGTAGTTTGAAAACTATTTGAAGATTCTTTTATATATTAAGAGGTTTAAATTTTATAGATTATTAAATAATAAACATTTTTTAAAAATAAAATTAATACAGTACAGATTAAATGGAGAGGGCTGGTATGGATTTTGCGACCGAATATTCAGTGATAACCTGTCTTATCTCTTTTACAGAAAACTTTACGTGACTGCTTCTGTAGTTGTTTGTTTGCTACTTTCTGGGCTGGCAGTATTTTTCTTATTTCCTCGATCTATTGATGTGGAGTACATCGGAGTCAAGTCAGTATATGTCAGTTATGAAGCTAAGAGACGCGTAATATATTTAAATATTACGGTAAGACCATTGTTAAATTTGCTTCCACTTTGATGTTCTGTGCATTATAAAGGTATCTAGAATGCTGACCATTCTGAATTATCTCTTCTGCAGAACACATTGAATATAACAAACAACAACTATTATTCTGTTGAAGTTCAAAACATTACAGCCCAGGTACAGTTTTCAAAGACTGTCATTGGGAAAGCACGACTGAACAATAACACCCATATTGGCCCATTGGATATGAAGCAGGTACATGAAACTGCATTTGTCATGTGAAATGTGGCTTTCTTTTGCTCCAGTGTTTCAGGCTTTTATTCTGAATGTTGCTTTTTTTTCCAGATTGATTATATGGTGCCCACAATTATACAAGATGAAATGAGTTACATGTTGTAAGTGTCTGCCTCTCTGGATTTTTATTCCTGGGAACACAGGAGTGGCTTATTACAGCATAGCCCAAGCTCTGAATAGGAGGGGCTAAATACAGTTGCTAGTCCCATTAAGAGTAAACCCATTGAACTAAAAGGGATTTCATAATGGTTGACGTAACATTTAGTAGTTGGCTATAATCTAGTTGAGTCTTTCTGGTGGGGGAGAAGGATAGGCCCTTAGGAGGCATAAACAGTTCTGTTTTACATACTGAACAAAGCAGAACAGTCCATTAGGTTTGGGTCTCTGGTTCCAGTTAGTCTGCAGCAGGAACTTTGTAGCATTAGTGGGGCCTGCACATGACATCTTTGCATCTATCTTGCTTTTCTGAAACCTCCCCTCTCTGTGTTACACCTTGTGCTAATGGGCTTCTGATCAGGGTTGGCTCTCAGCCTGAATAGCAAATGATTGCTATTTTGTATTCTCGAAGGCTTTCACGGCCGGGATCCGATGGTTGTTGTAGGTTTTCTGGGCTGTCTGGCCGTGTTCTTGAGGTTTTTCTTCCTAAAGTTTCACCAGTCACTTTTGCAGGCTGTGTTTTTCAGTGCTGGGAGGCAGGCTTTGTTGAGTTTTAGACTTTCGTCTTTTTTGTTGAAGCTCTGCTGCTGTTTGTGGATTTCAAAAGGTCAACAAACTCTACCCAGCCACAAGGACTAGTGATCACAGCACACAAAAGACCAGCTAACGACACCTATCAATCACAGTGACAGATCATCTCTCCCCCTTAATCCCAACAATACCCCCACAACAAAAACACGCTGATCACCATAATCACCCAATCTCCTGAAAAGGACAAAAAGCGGACCCCATAACTATAAATAATCAGCTATCATATAAACTGCACCAGAGCACAGACAGAGTTCTGTCCTCTGAAGATGCTGGCCACAGAGACTGGTGAAATGTTAGGAAGAAAACTGTCAAGAACACAGCCAGACAGCCTGAAAAACCTACAATGACTGCTATTTTGCTTAGGAAGGGAACTGTAGCATGAGGAGTAAACTTGCTCATGGCATGCATTGTTCTGACTTGTATACTTATATCCAGGATACTATACCGCGTTAAAGATTGAACAACCCAGTCCCTGGCAGAGCAGAAATGAGAAATGCAAAATCCATCATTCTAAATTATTTGTGATTGCTTTTCTGTTACTGCTACTGCAGGGTGTGTTTAGGGAGGCACATGACTAAGACTGTATCTCATTTCCAGTAGTGACCAGATTTATTTTTAAGTCTCATTTTAGTCAAGCCCATTTGAAACTGAGTAGAGCAGAATTTCCCCATAGATAAAATTGGCATGTGTTCTTGGTTTTAACTATATGGACTATGCTAATGTCGCTTTCTTCCTTACAGCGATTTTTGTACCCTAATCTCTATCAAAGTGCATAACATAGTAGTCATGATGCAGTAAGTATTGCATTTTCATTTATGCATAAATGTTCTCTGCAAACTGTTAATGTACCAACCCTGCCTTTAACTATTTTTTTCTTGCCCTGTTTCCGTATGTTTTATTACTTTTGGCTGATTAAGTTAGATAGTTTATATGGCTGGTTTCACACTCATTTCACACACTAGCAAGGTTATGCTCAAAATCCTACAAGGTAGGCTTCAGCAGTATATGGACCGAGAACTCCTTGAAGTACAAGCTGGATTTCGAAGGGGCAGATGAACTAGAGACCAAATTGCTAACATGCACTGGATTGTGGAGAAAGCCAGAGAGTTCCAGAAAAACTACTTCTGCTTCATTGACTACGCAGAAGCCTTTGACTGTGTGGACCACAGCAAACTATGGCAAGTTCTTAAAGAAATGGGAGTGCCTGACCACCTTATCTACCTCCTGAGAAATCTATGTATGGCATAGGAAGCAACAGTTAGAACTGGATATGGAACAACTGATTGGTTCAAAATTGGGAAAGGAGTACGACAAGGCGGTATATTGTCTCCCAGTTATTTAACTTATATCAGAATACATCATGCGAAAGGCTGGACTGGATGAATCACAAGCCAGAATTAAGATTGCCGAAAGAAATATTAAGAACTTCAGATATGCAGATGATACCACTCTAATGGCAGAAAGTGAGGAAGAATTAAAGAACCTCGTAATGACGGTGAAAGAGGTGAGCACAAACATGCTCTGAAGCTCAACATCAAAAAAACCAAAATCATGGTCTTTGGTCCCATCACCTCCTAGCAAATAGAAGGGGAAGATATGGAAGCAGTGACAGATTTTACTTTCTTAGGCTCCATGATCACTGCAGATGGTGACAGCAGCCACGAAATTAAAAGATGGTTGCTTCTTGGGAGGAAAGCGATGACAAACTTCAACAGCATCTTTAAAAGCAGAGACATCACCTTGCCGACAAAGGTCTGCATAGTCAAAGCTATGGTTTTTCCAGTAGTGATGTATGGAAGTGAGAGCTGAACCATAAAGAAGGCTGTCCACCAAAGAATTGATGCTTTTGAATTGTGGTGCTGGAGGAGACTCTTGAGAGTCCCCTGGACTACAAAGAGAACAAACCTATCCATTCTGAAGGAAATCAACCCTGAGTACTCACTGGAAGGACAGATCCTGAAATCGAAGCTCCAGTACTTTGGCCATCTCATGGGAAAAGAAGACTCCCTGGAAAAGACCCTGATGTTGGGAAAGAGGGCAAGAGGAGAAGGGGACGACAGAGGATGAAACGGCTGGGCAGTGTCATTGAAGCTATCAATATGAATTTGACCAAACTCTGGGAGGCAGTGGAAGACAGGAGGGCCTGGCGCGCTCTGGTCCATGGGGTCATGAAGAGTTGGACACAATTTAACGACTAAACAACAACAAGGCTGGTTAGAGATTTCAGTGAGATGGATGTCCTAGCTGTAGGAGTTTGATTCCACACTATGCTTTATATGAGAAGAGCCGGATTGTGTAACCTTGGGCAAGCTGCACAGTCCCAGAGCACCTTTAGAGGAAAGGAATAGTAAACCATTTCCAGGTACTTCTTACCTAGAAAATGCTGGAAAGGGTCGCCATCTGTTAGAATTGACTTGGCAGTACCTTATCATTAGTAATAACTTTCAGCAGGAGAGGCCACACCTAATCACAAACTAATCAGTGATAGTGTCTTCAAAAAGCTCACAGATGATGAAACATTGCTCCATAGTGTCCTATCTAACAACGCCCTGGTGAATTCAGTAGAAATGGAGGCTTGGAAAATATGATAGTTCTAATCCAAACATTTTCTGATCTAGAATACAGTTCTAGTTTTTTATCAGTCTTGTTCTGTTTTATAAAACTTCATTCTACCTGTGTCCTGTATGGATGCTCAAATAATGCTCAGCTTGCATACAGTGTGATACTCTTTTATTTGTCTGTGAATAAAATATATACAGTACATCTTAAAACATATGAATATTGCTTCATGTATAGAAGGTTTTTCCTCTTATAAAAATGTAGTTTTAAACTGGGTCTTTTCTCTCCTCTCCTTTCTTTTTCTTGAAGAGTAACTGTGACCACGTCTTACTTTGGCCGCTCAGAACAAATATCTCAAGAGCGATACCAGTATGTGGACTGTGGTGGAAATACAACTTACCAGCGGGGACAGATGGAGTATCTAAATGTATTTCGGCCTCCTCAGTAAAAAAACAACACACACAACCCCCAAAATTTCTGTACGACAAAAGAAAATGACTGCTGGTTCTTTTACTTAACATTAAAATCGAACTTTTCAACCATATCTGATAAAATTTAAAAGAGGTGGATGTATATAGTATAGTCATGAAGGCTTCTGTACTTTGAGGCATGAACAGAAAGGGGGCATTTGTATATACTGACAATAATTTGTCCCTGTCTACTTTAAATGTGTAAGTATTCTGTTAAACTGTTACACTGGGAAGAGGGGGAAATTTTGAATTAGCAAGCTTGTATTTCCCTGTGGAAATATGAGTGTGTGTCCTGTAAAAAATCTGGAACCATATAATTGTATACATGACAGTGTGCCACTAACAAATAACATAATGGAAAGTAAGCTCATGATGTATTTTCAGTTCTGATTAGTTTAGATGAGGGTCTAAACATCTGTTCTATTAAAATAAGTATGCTCATAATGCAGTATTAGGAGAAACATATTTGCATTTAGTAATCTTACGGGAGTTCAGTTTTCACTGTGTTATATTCTTTTCTTTACAAGTCCCATTGCACATGAAGTGCTTATTATTGATGCCTTTCCACAAAAATTAATTTGCCTAAAATCTGTGGGTAGTTTGATGATACGAATACCAATTAATTTATAAGTATTTTCAGGGTGGCAGATACAAGATGAAAAGCAAACCGGAGTGCTTAAAGGAACCTTAGGGTGTGGGTTTTTTTGTAAAGCAGTGAAAACTTACATGTGCTTTAAAGCTTTGCTTTATGGAAGCTTGTATAAAATGAGTGGTTGTCGGCTTCTCTTGGAACTCCTAGTGTGTTTTCTATTCCAGGTTTAAGTTCAGTGCATTGTAACTTAAGTAGTATCTAATTGTAAACTCCTGACAGAAGTGAATGTAAAGTATTCCAATCATAACAGAAGCTTTTGCTAAAAACAGCCATGTTTTCATTTACCAGCTTTGAGAGATACTGTAGATCAGTGTCACCATTTTCTCTTAAGGCGTACATGCTTATATACACATATGTAATTATGCTTGAATGAGAAGTCACTGAATGAGCATAATGTGCGGTGCTAGTGTAGCCTGGCTTGATAATTCTTTTCCATGCTGCTCTGGTAACTTTGAAATCACCTGCTAGAGATTGGAAATGTTTGTTTTATGAATATAATTCCCAGAATCACACAGTTATTACACCGGGGTTCTGAGAACTATAGTAAAATAAACAAGCACATTCCGTTTCTGGTTCCTATGCAAAAAATAGTGGCATGTTAAGTAACATGATTGCATCCTCACTTTGAATACCAGACCAGCATCCCTCCATGCCATGATGGTAGTGTATGGGTACAGCCTGTTGCTTTTAGCTTGGATAGTTGATTAAAATACACTATATTATATTATAATTGCATTGTAATATACAGTAGTTACCATTTTGAATTCACCATGTTTTCATTTGGATAGGATCTGGCCAACTGACTGAAGAAAACTAAAGCATTTGTCATGTTATAATAGTAGGTCCCCTCAAATGATCAGTAACATTTGAAGTATCATGACTGAAATCCAACTAGAACAGGCCCACTGAATCTGTGTATTTGGTGCACCCACACTTCCATAAATGTCATTGATTCAGTTGTGACTTACTACTGGATTTCAGCTTATATTTCACTTAACTGATGCTCAGCATTTTAAAGTCCCATTGGTGTCTATGGGAAATGTGTAATTAGGTGCTTAATGGTCCCGTGAATATCAATGGGACTTGAAAGTGTTTTAATTCAAGGCTACATCATGCACATGTATCCTTGGTACTGCAGAGTTTTGAGTGGCTCCACTTTTTAATTTTTAGTCTATTTAACATTAATTATGATTATGCTTTGTAATAATAATTGCTATGAGGTTTGGTAAAAAGATGTTGGGATTTCTGTGGTAGGGCATAGTGCATTATTGATAGTTGGCATACTGATTGTATTTTTGTGTTAGTATTTTCCTGCACAGTATTTTTGGAACCTATTGAGCAAACTATACTAGGATAATCCACAAAGAGAATTTTTGACTTTCTTTCTGCTCTGAAGATCTGAGAATTGTTTTGCTGAAGTAACAAGACACTCTTTGGTCAAAATGAAGCAAATGGGCTACAAATGACAGTGAAGCAGGCATTTAAAACCAAGTGAGGTGTTTGCTTGTTTTTTAATTTTCAAATACATACTAGCACCAAATAGTAAACCAGATATGGTAACTGGAAATAATCAATTTAAATGAATCAAAATCTTATTGCCACTTCCTTTCAGATTCTGATGCTCCCCATAGCTCCCTTTTGCCTTGCCAAAGCCTTTGGGAGCCTTGGAAATAGTAATAGCAAAACAACAACAACACACAAACAAACAAAAGCACACACAAACAAACAAAAAAGCCCACTGGATCATGATTCCAGTCCAGCAGTGATTCAAACCAGTAAGGGCAAACAGGAGAACTAAGGAGGAATTAGGGGAATAGGAAGCTTCTGAACAATTTAAATTGATTATTTCTGGTATTTGGATCCAGCTTATTGTGGTATAAAAGAGGGAACAGGACTTTGACCATTTGCTTTAGATCAAAAGGGCATACATATTGGATGGAAATGCTGAAATAAAGTGATGCAAAAAGGGAAGGATTGGATTTCAAGTCCTGAAAAATTACAATTTTAACCAGTCTTGTAATATATGCAAGCTTAAATGCTTAGAAATAAATGGCTGCAATTTATTTGCTCTTTTGTAAGGGAACAGCAGAAAACACAGCCCCTCACTTTAAACATTACATGGTGGAATAAAATACAGTAAAAAATTTTTTTAAAAAAAATTCAGTACATTGGGCACTTTGGATTTGCTTCCTAGCCATTGCTGTTTTGAGATTAGAGGAGATAGCAGTGTTTGCAAATGGCAAGTCAAAAATGACAGGAAATCACATAATCTACAAATTATTAGGTTTACTTCTTATTTTGCTTAACCTTTTTATTGCAATATTTGAAGTAAATAAATTTAAATCTCACAAATTGATGAGAATTTGACAATACAAAAAATTTCAGGAAAAAGGGTCAGTGCTAGATTTGTGCAAAGGAAAATTAATATGGAGTGGATGAACTCAATTGACAAAATCAGTCCCTCGATTAAAATTAATGGAGTTCTGAAAGAAGCATTTAAAACCCACTGTAAATTTTTTGACCATAAGTGATCTATGCAGAAATTCTTCTGTAAATACATCTTTGGTTAATTCTCCATTTAGTGTTATCTGATTATCTGGACTTAGTATATTGTGGTTTAATGCTTCCTGTTGTCGCTCATATTGAAAGTGAACTGGAATCAATTTGGGAGCCCATTTATTTCCTTGTAGAGTCTTAAGGATGACCAGAATCCTATTGAATATTTATGTCTGAGTAATGCAACAGCATAACTCAAAACAGTGAATAAGCCGCTAATTAATGAGTCTATGATTGAATTCCTAGTAGTGTGTCAGTTGCGTGACTTGGCATACTACAAGGGATTCAGTCAGGGACTAATTAATTAGGAGCTATTCACTGCTCTGAGGTACACACTTGCACTTATGCAGGCATAAATATTCAGATAGAGCCTGGCGTATATGTATAAACATTTTTTTTCACTGAATAGCTTTTGTGCGTTTAACAAAAGTTTCCACTGTCAATGTTACTTCTTAAAGCTCACATTCTGCATTAGAGATATTGCACTTTGACGGAAGCAGGTAGATTAATATATGGTTGACTTAGACTGCACAGTGGTGACACGTATGTACTGGGAATGCAAAGTGTTTAAATATCCTCTAATTAGGAAATAATTTAATTTTAAGATCAATTGTATAGTCAAAATTCAATTATTATATTGCACCACTTGACGACATGCACCAGTATCCATTTATTTTGATAAACTGTAATTGTCAGCTTTATTGGAAATGTTTTCACTTGTAATATAAAATATTGTTGTTTTCTTTAACATATTTCAAAGGTTTTGATACATTTTGTGTGAGATACACATTTCTGTACTACTTTGTAATTGTATTTTGATACCTTCCTAATCAAAGTGCACATGCTTTGATGCAATTCATATAAACTGCTAGTTAAATTAAGCGATTTGATGTAGTCTGTAAAGGATGGGCTGCTTACAATGGCCTGATTTAAATGTAACAATAAATCATAATTTAGTGGCATCAGAGGTGAACTGTAGTGATCTCCTGACTTGTTCACACTAACCATCATTCAGATCAGAGTTTCCTAAATTTGGATGTAACTGAAATTGTAGCTTATTCAGAACTCAGCATTGAAGCTTTCTCTCTCCTCTTTTCATGTTCATGGGAGTAGACAGGCTGAAGCTCCTTGCCAAAGCATGATGTAGTCTTACTGGGACTTCTCCTTTTTGGAGAAGTGGGGTTGGTAAATGAAGCAGTGTGTTTAGGGCAGGACAGCAGAAGTATCTGTAAAAATGATTGTGCAGTTAAATTAGCATATTGAGTGCTTTTATGCAGAAGGAATTATTAATAATTATAATTATTCATTAATAATTATAATTATTATAGCATTATTCAGTGCCATCTTGCAAGTATATTGAATGCCTTGTTTCTGAGAATTCTAAAAGGTTGAAAACCATTTCTGCCACAAATGGAGAAAGCTTAATTCTTCTTAACTATACACTACACTCTATACTTGCAGAGTGCAAGTGCTAGTATGTAGATTGCCAATGTTGATTCGAGATAAAACGTGCATTGAACAAGACTTGAGTACTAGTTGTGTGTTGATATTCTTGAATTTCTGCTTGCAGTTTTATCTCTCCATGGCCTGAACCGCGTCATAAATATAACTCTACTGCCAATGTGGAACAATAATGTTCTAGCTGGTGATGGTAGGGCAGGCCCTACAATTTTATTGGATCATAAAGAAATTCTATGAAAAAAAATACAAAGTAACTTTTCTGTTTTTTTTCCAATCCATGAATTAACCACTACTGCTGCTTATTGTATAAATAGCATAGGATTTATGTATAGAAATAATAAAAAGTGAGAACTATTTTTGTAATTTCAGAATTGTAATAGTTCCTGTAATTGTGTGTTGCAAACTATGTATGCAGTGTTCTTAAGCATGATAAATAAAATTTCTCTGTGCTATTGCTTACTTTGGAGATGCCTTTAGGGATCCTATGATGGCTAAGTAGACATGTAACTCCTTATTAATTCACATTTTTCATAGTGAAATATTTCAAGAGGGAATAATTTCATGTTGAAAATAAGTTGCTATCTGTACTGATGGGATTGTTGAATTAGAATATTCCTTAGCTAGGAAATTTCCATTGATTTTGCTTGTACCACACTAAGGAAAGAGTGACAATGCCCCAGAGTTAATGAGCCACACTGCATCAGAAATGAACTGTGGGCTGCTGCTTGCCTTTCCTTTGCATACTATCTTTGGTGTCGCAGTTCAGTGACGTGCACCATCAAACCATGGTTTAAGACTCTGGTTGGTAAACTCATCCAGCAATTTACCTTTTTTAGAAACAATTAGGAGGTGCTCTTTCTGGTGTTCTTTTTACATAATTTCTGCTAGATTTCTCATTCTGTTGCAGAACTGGTGGTAGCAGAATGCACAGACCACAGTCGAAGAAGCTGGGAACTTCTGCTTTGAAAAGTCCTTTAGTTTACTTCCAAGATTTTTTGCTTGCTTAAACAAATACTGTATTTTGAAATCTTACTTAAAAATCTCTTGTATCCTTAAGGAGAGACAATTCTGCCATATATGATGTAACCTGGGGTTGAGCTCATGGCTGATTCATCCTTACATTTTTGTGTATTTTGGGCACTGTAAAGTTCACAGTCAAAATGAACATATCCAGTGTGATTTAGTGGATAAAATGATGGCCTGGGTTCAAGCCCCACACAACCATGGTAACTCATTGGGGGAATAGAACTGTTAAAACCACTCCTATAATACCTCACATTGAAAGTCCTATGAGGGTCACTAAAAGTCGGTTCTAACTTGATGGCAGATAACAGTAACAAAGTTCAAAGTATAACCAAGACATTTCTCAAACTCTATCCTCTATTGTAAACCAGGTTTTTGCTGAGATAGCCTTTGTGGGTCTTGGATGCAACTTGGAAAAAGTTATATTTGGGGTCTGTATCTCCCAGAAATCCCTCAATGCCACGCTGGCTGGTGGGTTCTGAAAGTTACTACATAAGAAAGTAACTTTTCTAAGTTCTGGTTTTGTATGATGAATAAAGAGGAAAATATTGGCAAACATTCTGTCCAAAACAGGTTTTCAAAGCTCCAGCAATATATTTTTGTCTTTATTTAAACTGAGAGACATACAGTTTAAAGAGATGTAATCTCATGTTTAAAAGCCAATACTGATTAATACAGTGTGTGTAATTCCTCCCTGCTAACTGAGCATAGCTTAATGTCAATCATATAATCAGTCACTGTGGTGATCTACCTTTGTGGCCCTCACAAAGGATCGCAGCCTTCTTCCTTCACGCTGCCACCAGATATTCTCCTAATACCAATTATGTTACACTTGTGTGCTGCCAAAACTAAGGGTTATAGAACTTAAGAATCAGAGATTTAATTAAGTATTCTTTTATTGTAAAACAAATAATAAAGATAAATCACATATGAACTGTTTCAGGTATTAACACGTATTGGATCATGTAGGCAATCCTTTTTATTCCGAACTGCTGTATACTTTCAATCAATATTTCTCTTGTAGTGCTTATACTTTCATTCCTGCTTGTACAGTATTGTTTAAACTTCTCAATTCCCTCTCCTAACACTCTCAGCTCAATTCACTGACCCTTTCCTTCTTTCTCCTAAACCCTAACTGCCATTCCACATCTCCAACTGTCCCTCTAGCTGTCTCCAACTCTCTGTCTAACTCCACCCCTCCTGCCCTATCCTTGGCTCCTCCCCCTTGAGCTTCTGTGATGGACAGGCAGGAATGATGTCACCTTTTGGCATTTTGCTACAGTCACTAAATGTGCTTTTATAAGTATTTATCTCCCCCAGTCACTTTTTAAAATCATTTGTTATAAAGGTTTACTTGGATTGTAAGAAAATGCTCACAATAATATGCATGTTGATTTCTCTGAACAGATAGTGCCATATATTTTATATTCACAGCAGTGATACACATTTTATTGTATGGTAATGCTACAGGCAAGAATGGTTCTGGATCTTTATTAAGGGCCAAAGAATTAAATGTCTTGATTGTTGGTGAACAAGGAAAAACAGAGAGAAGTACAGTATGAAGAACAGGAAATAACATAATTCATTGGAATTTGTCAACTGCTTGGTCATTATAATTGTGACTACAAATGAGGCATTTTCTGAAATGATAGAATGCATAGCGTGCAATAGAAGATAAGAATATTTTGTATCATGGCCCCTTGGAATAATGTCAGCTTAATGTATTCTGTTGTTTAAGAGAGGTAACAATACAGTGGCTACATTATGGTGTAACCTTTTAAAATATAGATTCTGACCCCAATCAGTGTATTAAATTGTATTTTATGGAGCAAATGTGGTCCGGGATAATCACTGTCTTTGTGAATTTGCTCTAGAAATGTTCCACATGCATTTATACTCACAGGAAATTATTTTGTTTATTACATATAAAATATTGACAACCTCATGCTGTAAAATAAATGTATATATTCAACCTGGCCTCCGTGAGAGTTCGGCTTCAGGCTCCTCTTTTGGTTCAAAGAAATCAGTAGATTTCTGTTGCTTCAAAACAGGTGAAAGATTTATTGGTGCATTTAACAATAAACAAGGGTCTGTGACATGATTATGAGTCTTTTCTCCTTCTGCCAATGGGTCCGGAAAAGGTCTCCAATTTTCTAACAGGAACGGGTTGCCATAACTATTGTTCCTTGGTCCCAGTAAATCAGCATGGGGCTGATTCAACAAGGCAGTCTTTCACGGTCTGCCCCGTCGAAACTTCCAGCAAGGGCACGGTCTCGTTATCCTGATCGCCATTCCACAGGGTTCGTCCCTTTCGAACCTTCCAGCAAGGGCACAGTCTCGTTATCCCGATCGCCATTCCACAGGGTTCGTCCCTCGGGCTCTCGATCCTGCCAGGGTCGTCCCTGTAGTAGTCCTTCCTCATATCTCTTATTCTCCATTCTAGCCTCTCTGTCCTTCCTCCCTCTGCTCTTTCTTTCTCTTCTCTCAACCTCCTCTTCCACTCACCTCGGCTTCTCCCCAATAAGAGGGTCTGGGCGGGGAATTTCCCGTCTTCTGTAATGCGCCTTCTGACATGGTGGCACTGCGGGCTAAACTGCAGAAGCCTGTGCTGCAGGGTCAGAAGACCAAGCAGTCGTAAGATCGAATCCACACGACGGAGTGAGCGCCCATCGCTTGTCCCAGCTCCCGCCAACCTAGCAGTTCGAAAGTATGCAAATGCAGGTAGATAAATAGGGACCACCTTGGTGGGAAGGTAACAGCGTTCTGTGTCTAAGTCGCACTGGCCATGTGACCATGGAAGATTGTCTTCGGACAAAAACGCTGGCTCTATGGCTTAGAAACGGGGATGAGTACCGCCCTCTAGAGTCGACTGGACAAAAATTGTCAAGGGGAACCTTTACCTTTACCTAGGCACTCAGACTCTTCCATAATCCTGTCCAGTGTTTCTCCATCCACACCCATTCCCGGCCTCGTGGCAACTTACTCTCCTTCCTTTTTACCTCCCCTGTTTCTGCCTCAAACTCCACCCTCTTCTTCCTCTCTTTTCCCACCTTTTCCTCCTGGACCTCTCTCATTGTCACACCCTGCAAGTTCTCAGTCAACTCCTCCTTCTGTCCCTTGCTGAGCTTCTGCCACAGGTTCTAGTGCTGGCTGGGGACTCTCCTTCTTATTCTTGTTGTGGGGGAGGGATGGCTCTCCGGCGAGTGGGGTATCCCTATCGCCTTTTGTCTCACTGCCCCATGGCAGTAAACTGACCTGTGTGGAAATGTATTCATAATTAGATTTCAGTATAAGGTGCTAGCTCAGGTTTTTTAAAAAAATTTTTTAACATACCACCTCATTATTTGCATGGCACTTAGAGATCAGATTTATGGAGTAGAGTCCCGAGTTTGCAATATACATGTGAATTTATATAAACATTCTTGAATATTTGTCTGGATGCATCCTCAGTGACATTGTACAGCTCACGTGTTTAACAACAGATATTTGTAGAATGTGTTCTATGTCACAGATTTTAGATTCGGGAGGAGGAGTTTGTCCATGAAAGATATATTTTTAAGTAACTGCAATAATCATTTAATCTCAAAAGAAAATGTTGGGAAATGGTGCAAGTTGATTCAGAATTTAGTTCAAACTATTTCCAACTTTGTACAAAGATGGAGAAAAGATACAGGAGAGATGATTACTTTGGATAGTTGGTAATGTCTGTATAATATAAAAATGTAATCTTAACAAATATTAAATATACTTTTTCTAAGAATATATACAGATGGTATTGTCTGTTTCATGTTTAAATATTCATCCCCTGCAAGAGCATAGATGTTGAAGCTGTCAGACAGTATATCTGGATTTATTATTTGCTTTGATAATCATCTAAACTCATTTCAGGTAGCAAGTACTGAGAATTAGAAAATATATAACAGGATATGGAATACATTTGTTTCCTGAAATTGCATGTCTGGGTTATATTAACGATTTTGTTTGACATGAAAAATTAAAATTAGTTACCAGTATTTAATCGCTGCAGTAGAAGTTATTGCTTATATGTGGAAATCGTCCAACTGTCCTACTGTTTCAAACTGGTATGAGCAAGTATGGACTATACTATATTTTACTCAACTGACACAAATGAGTGAACATTGGTGCACATTCAATAGAATTAGAGGGAAAAATGGAGCCTATTTATTAATTACTAAAACATGCATTTTCATGATGTTGTCTATATATATTACTTGATGTTCCATAAAACATCAGCTGCACTTGCTATTCAGATAGTTGGAGTCTCAGTATAATAGTGGATATGTTATCTTTAGTAATAGCATTTTTACTTTTCCTAGCATGGCTTCAAAAGGGTAATATGATAGTACCTACATTCAGGGACGTGGTGGCGCTGTGGGCTAAACCGCAGAAGCCTGTGCTGCAGGGTCAGAA